GGTAAAGATGTGGTTGTGGGACCAGGCCTTTGGGCATCCTGACAATTAGATATGGAAACCAGATGGATAGGACCGACAATTTGTGGAAATTGGAACTTAAACTATGAGACTGTGAAATGCTGACCATCAATGAGGTTTGTATTGATTTTATTGCTTTTATTGCTTTTATTAGTTTATGGTTGTTTTTGCCAATAATAATTATTGTTTTCTGTTAATTGTTATTGCTAAAATTGCTGTTTGTTAACTGTTGTTATTGTCCTTTGCTGTTATGTAATGCGGGCGTCAAATTGTGCCTTGCTTTTGTAAGCCGCCCTGAGTCCCCCCTGGGGTGAGAAGGGCGGGGTAGAAGCAACCAAAATAAATAAATAAATAAATATCCGACCTTGAGAGCTATGAAGATTTAGATTGGGAGGATCGCTTACAATTCAAAGTTCACCGCAGTGCGAGGCTTGCTAACAAGAGGGAGGTTAGGGGTCAACTGAATGCGTTCATGCTGGGAAGGTATATTAGATGGGGTGTTTGAATGCAAATCTTTGTCAGTGCAACTTCTGCCAACAACCTGGTAACTTCTTTGGATTGCCTTGGCTTTTGGGCAACGTTCTTGGCTTCCTGGGACTCTGTCTTGCTGTCATGGAATCTTGTTTGATCGATGTTCTTTGGATTATGCTTCATGCTATTTGCTAATGAACTTTTGAAACTTACTTTTGCATTTAAGACATTTCATTTCTTCAATAAACTACAAAATCTTCAGCCTTTGTGTGGTTTGGTGTTTGGAGCAAGGTGACTCTACTCTGAGCCCATCTTTACATCTCTTTTCCTGTCCACCAACATTACATTTCCTGTTCTTGAGTTTGGGAGATTGTGATCGGGCATTCGGACAACGTGGCCAGTCCAGCGGAGTTGATGACGTAGGAGCATCGCTTCAATTCTGGTGGTCTTTGCTTCTTACAGCACGCTTGCATTTGTCCACCATCTTGGTTTTTCTGATGTTTACCTGCAACCCAGCTTTTGCCCTTTCTTCTTTCCCCTTGGTTAGAAGGATCCTGTGTGGATCATAATAAATTGTGGCAAGTTCTTAGTGGGATGGGCATCCCAAGCCACCTTGTCTCTCTCCTGAGGAATCTGTACAAGGACCAAGTAGCAACAGTCAGAACTGACCACGGAACAACAGACTGGTTCAAGATTGGGAAAGGCGTACGGCAAGGCTGCATCCTCTCACCCAACCTTTTTAACTTGTATGCAGAACACATCATGCGATGTGCGGGGCTGGATGAATGCAGAGCTGGGGTGAAAATTGCTGGAAGAAACATTAACAACCTCAGATATGCAGATGACACCACTCTGATGGCCGAAAGCGAGGAGGAGCTGAGGAGCCTTCTAAACAAGGTGAAAGAAGAAAGCGCAAAAGCCGGGTTGCAGCTAAACGTCAAAAAAACCAAGATTATGGCAACAAGAATGATTGACAACTGGAAAATAGAGGGAGAAACCGTGGAGGCCGTGACAGACTTTGTATTTCTAGGTGCAAAGATTACTGCAGATGCAGACTGTGGCCAGGAAATCAGAAGACGCTTCCTTCTTGGGAGGAGAGCAATGTCCAGTCTCGATAAAATAGTCAAGAGTAGAGACATCAGACTGGCAACAAAGATCCGCCTAGTCAAAGCCATGGTATTCCCTGTAGTCACCTACGGACGTGAGAGCTGGACCTTAGGGAAGGCTGAGCGAAGGAAGATAGATGCTTTTGAGCTGTGGTGTTGGAGGAAAGTGCTGAGAGTGCCTTGGACTGCGAGAAGATCCAACCAGTCCATCCTCCAGGAAATAAAGCCGACTGCTCACTGGAGGGAAACTATAGACAAAGTTGAAGTACTTTGGCCACATCATGAGGAGACAGCAAAGCCTAGAGAAGACAATTATGCTGGGGAAAGTGGAAGGCAAAAGGAAGAGCGGCCGACCAAGGGCAAGATGGATGGATGGCATCCTTGAAGTGACTGGACTGACCTTGAAGGAGCTGGGGGTGGTGACGGCCGACAGGGAGCTCTGGCGTGGGCTGGTCCATGAGGTCACGAAGAGTCGGAGACGACTGAACGAATGAACAACAACAGAAGGCTCCTCAGCTCCTCCTCGCTTTCGGCCATCAAAGTGGTATCATCTGCATATCTAAGTTTGTTAATATGCCTTCCAGCAATTTTAACTCCAGCCTTGGACTCGTCAATTCCTTCATGTCACATGATGTGTTCTGCATACATGTTGAACAGGGAGGGGGAGAGTAGACAGCCCTGCCATCCTCCTTTCCCAATCTAGAACCAGTCTGTTGTTCTGTGGTCAGTTCTTACTGTTGCTATTTGGTCGTTACACAGATTCCTCAGGAGATGGACAACGTGGCTTGGTATCCCCATACATACCACCAAGAACTTGCCACAATTTATTGTGGATCCACATAGTCCAAGGCTTTAGAATAGTCATCCACACCATACAAATATTAAAATGCAATTAATTGTACAATTACTTAAAGAATTGAGTCCCAGATCTTGCCATGGCTGATGACCCATCTCTTGATTTAAAGCATCCCTATCTCTGTCTTTATCCAGAAAACCCACACACACACACACACACACACATACACACGGATTGCCTTTAGGCTTATGATCTAAAAGGAAAGGACATGAAAGGGACAGGAGGAAAGATGAAAGGGAAGCAAGCAGCCTTTCAAGATGCCTCATGGAAAATGGCCCTCTTTCCCCAACCAGCCCTTTCTGATACTGTGAACCAGCCCAGCTTTAAAATATTGAGCATTTGGCTGGAATTTGACTGTACAATCAGGAAACATTCACTTCACAAAAGGCTCATTTTTGGGGGAAAGGACAGTGATAATAAATAATGTTATGCTTTGGGGACTGCCATAAATGATTAGTGTAGTTCAAAATGTACCACTTCGATACTAGGTGCATCAAGGTATGGTCAAGATGGCAAAAGTTGGGTTGCTGTGAGTTTGCCAGGCTGCATGGCTATGTTCCAGAAGCATTTTCTCCTGACATTTCACCCACATCTATGGCAGCCATCCTCAGAGGTTGTGAAGTCTGTTGGAAACTAGGCAGGTGGGGTTGACATATCTGTCGAATGTCTTCTCTGTTTGAGACAAATGAGAATTCTGCAATTAATCACCTTGATTAGCATTGAATAGCCTTGCAGCTTCAAGGCTCTACAGCCTAACAGAGACTCCACCACAGACATCAGAAGAGCTGCAAGAGCAAGAAAAAGCTACGAGAGGAAAGACAAAGATCCACCCAGAGGAAGCCTTGCAGCTTCAAAGCCTGGCTGCTTCCTGCTTGGTGGAATGCTTTGTTGGGAGGTGTTAGTAAAGATAAAGGTTTCCCCATGACATTAAGTCAGGTCGTGTCCGACTCTATGGGTTGGTATTTCATCTCCATTTCTAAGCCGCAGAGCTAGCATTGTCCACAGACACCTCCCAAGTCATGTGGCCAGCATGACTGCATGGAGCGCCGTTACCTTTCCACCAGAGTGGTCCCTTTTGATCTACTCACATTTGCATGTTTTCGAACTGCTAGGTTACCTGGGCTCTGATTGTTTCTTCTCTGGAATTCCCCTGTTTTTGGGTGTTGTTCTTTATTTACTGTCTGTTGGAAATAAGGCAAGTAAGGTTTATATATCTGTGGAATGATGTCCAGGGTGGAAGAAATAACTTTTTGTCTGCTGGAGACAGGTGTGAATGTAGCAATTGGCCACCTTGATTAGCATTGAATGACCTGGTTGGTTGCTGGCTAGAGGAATCCTTTATTGGGAGATGTTAACTGGCCCTGATTGGTTCTTGTCTGGAATTCCCCTGTTTTTTTAAGTGTTGTTCTTTATTTACTGTCCTGATTTTAGAGTTTTGTTTTTTTAATACTGGTAGCCAGACTTTGTTCATTTTCATGGTTTCCTCCTTTCTGTTGAGATTGTCCACCTGCTTCTTGTGGATTTCAATGGCTTCTCTGTGTAGCCTGACATGGTGGTTGTGAGAGTGGTCCAGCATTTCTGTGTTCTCCAATAATCTGCTGTGTCCAGGTTGGTTCATCTGGTGCTCTGCTATGGCTGACTTCTCTGGTTGAATAAATTTGCAGTGCCTTTCATGTTCCTTGATTCATGTTTGGGCAATGCTGGTGCATTTGGTGGTCCCTCTGTAGAGTAATGCACAGCTGCATAGTATACAGTAGACTCCCACAGAGGTGAGAGGATCCCTCTTGTCCTTTGCTGAACGTAGCATTTGTTGGATTTTCTTGGTGGGTCTGTAGATAGTTTGTATGTTGTGTTTCCTCATCAGCTTCCCTCTGCAGTCAGTGGTTCCCTTGATGTCTGGCAAGAACACTTTTCCTCTGGGTGGATCTTTGTCTTTCCTCTCGTGGCTTGTTCTTGATCTTACCATTCTTCTGATGTCTGTGGTGGAGTCTCCGTTGGCCTGTAGAGCCTTGAAGTTGCAAGGCTATTCAGTGCTAATCAAGGTGATTAATTGCAGCATTCACATTTGTCTCAAACAGACAAGACATTCCACAGATATATAAACCCCACTTGCCTAGTTTCCAGCAGACCTCACAACTTCTGAGGATGCCTGCCATAGATGTGGGTGAAATGTCAGGAGAGAATGCTTCTGGAACATGGCCAGACACCCCCGGAAAACTCAAAGCAACCCAGTGATTCCGGCCATGAAAGCCTTCAACAACACATGGCAAAAGTTATTAATGAAATAGAACATGCAGGGCAAGAGAGGCTGCCGTAGTTTGCTTTTGGGAAGTGCAAGATTGAGCGCAGTTTGCAGCAGTTGAAGTCAGCTGAGGTCCTACTGGAAGCCCTTCCAGCTCAGCCCTATATCCTAGAATATCAGGTCAGAAAACCCCACATTATCTGCCTTGATATTCCGGCAGTGTGAAAGGGCCCTGGGACTTTCATAAACTGGGTCTTTCCAATCTTCTAGAAAAGCTTTTCAACCCAAGTTCTTTTTTTTTTTGCAGACGACATCCTGGAGTCCTTTGACAACCACCCTCCGATCATGCTGCCCAGCGGAGGGTTCAAGGTGGACTTGGAGGTGGACAACCTGGACGACAATATTTACCGGCACCTCCTCTACATCCGCCACTTCCTGTGGAGCCTGCGCAGCAAAAGCCCCCACCCCAGGGACTCCCCAGAAGCGGAGGCACCAAAGGTAATGCTGAGTCTCACCCGTCCTGAATTGCACACGTCCCACCTGCAATTACTCTATGGCCAAATTCCCAAATGACCTTGGATTTTTGGTCTAGGCTAGGGCATCGGTTCTCACCCTTCTTAATGCCACGGCCCCTTAATCCAGTTCCTCATGTGGTGGTGACCCTCAACCACAACATTATTTTCGTTGCAACTTCAGAACTGTCATTTTGCTACTGTTGTGAATCATCATGTAAATATCTGATATGCAGGATGTATTTTCATTCACTGGACCAAATTTGGCACAAATACCCAATACGTCTAATTTTGAATACTGTTGGGGTTCGGGAGGGATTGATTTTGTCATTTAGGAATTGTAGTTGCTGGGATTTGTAGTTCACCTACAACCAAAGAGCATTCTGAACTCCACCAACGATGGAATTGAACCAAACTTGGCACACAGAAGTCCCATGACCAACAGAAAATACTTATTTATTGATTTACTTATTTACAGTATTTATATTCCGCCTTTCACACGACTCAGGGCGGATTACAATGCACATATACATGGTAAACATTCAATGCCGTTTAGACATACAACATATATAGACAGACACATTCCAGCTATTGCACCTTCATGCTCGATTCCGGCCACAAGTTGAGCTGCCGCTTCACCGTCCACTTGTGACACCGAGCCCTTTGATAGAGTACTTCCTCATTCTTCTGCACGCTGCTGGGAGGTTTTATGGCATCATAAATTCGTTAAATTAGCCTCCCCGCATAAAGTGGTACCTAAATTTCCTACTTGACAGATGCAACTGTCTTTCGGGCTGGATGGGTCAACAGCAAGCTAGACCTTTAATGGTCAGGAGCTTACTCCAACCCAGGCTGGCTTTGAACTCATGAGCTCTCGCTTAGTAGTGAGTTAATGCAGGTGGCTACTAACTAGCTGTGCCACAGCCCAGTAATGTAAGGGTTTGGTGGGCATTGACCTTGAGTTTTGGAGTTATAGTTCACCTACATCCAGAGAGCACTGTGGACTCAAACAATGATGGATCTGGATCAAACTTGGCACGAATACTCAATTTGTCCAAATGTGAACACTGGTGGAGTTTGGGGAAAATAGACTGTGACATTTGGGAGTTGTAGTTGCTGGGATTTATAGTTCACCTCCAATCAAAGAGCCTTCCGAACTCCCCCAATGATGGAATTGAACCAAACTTGGCATGCAGAACTCCAACGACCAACAGAAAATACTGGAAGGGTTTGGTGGGCTTTGACCTTGAGTTTTGGAGTTGTAGTTCGCCTACATCCAGAGAGCACTGTGGACTCAAACAATGATGGATCTGGACCAGACTTGGTATGAAAACTCAATATGTCCAAATGTGGACACTGGATGAGTTGGGGGGAAATAGACTGCGACATTTGGGAGCTGTAGTTGCTGGGATTTATAGTTCATCTACAATCAAAGTGCATTCTGAACCCCACCAATGATAGAAATGAACCAAACTTGGTGCACAGAACTCCCATGACCAACAGAAAATACTGTGTTGTTGTAGGTTTTTTCGGGCTATATGGCCATGTTCAAGAGGCATTCCCTCCTGATGTTTCGCCTGCATGTATTGCGAAACGTTTCGCCTGCATTATATGCTAATCAAGGTGGTCAGTTGAAACATTCACACCTAGCTCCAGAAGACAAGAGTCCTTTGTCCCACCCTGGTCATTCCACAGATATATAAACCCATTTTCCTAGTTCCAACAGACCTCACTACCTCTGAGGATGCTTGCCATAGATGCAGGCGAAACGTCAGGAGAGAATGCCTCTAGAACATGGTCATATAGCCCGAAAAAACCTACAACAACCCAGTATTTAGGAAGCCCTAAAATTTGGGGGGGGGGGGGGGACGATCTCTAGTAATACAAAGAGGAAGGCAAATCGTCAAGTATTATTGAAAACGTGACTCCCCTTGCATGCAGCGGCTCAGGTGCTTGAGCTCAATGCGCAAACCGGATGCAGGTGCAAACCCAGCCTGAAATGGAGAAGCAGCTATAAATAATTTAAAACCACTGCGCAGTTAATACACACGCTTGCGTTTACCCTTGTTGCCGTTGCTGGAGCACTTCTTGTATTTATATGTTCTGAGCAGGAAAGAACAATATTGTGTCTCCTCCACTCGCCCAGGTGGTTTGGGGTGGGGAAACAGCAGGGAGCCATGAAAAAACGTTGCAAGAAGGTGGGCATGCTCGCCTGGTGTAATAATGAAGACATGGTTAGGTTTCCATCCATGTCCTTTTCTATCTCCTAGGATCATAGAATCATAGAATCAAAGAGTTGGAAGAGACCTCATGGGCCATCCAGTCCAACCCCATTCTGCCAAGAAGCAGGAATTGCATTCAAAGCACCCCTGACAGATGGCCATCCAGCCTCTGTTTAAAACCTTCCAAAGAAGGAGCCTCCACCACACTCCGGGCAGAGAGTTCCACTGCTGAACGGCTCTCACAGTCAGGAAGTTCTTCCTAATCACTGTATTGTCGAAGGCTTTCATGGCTGGAATCACTGGTTCTTGTGGGTTTTTTCGGGCTATATGGCCATGTTCTAGAGGCATTTCTTCTGATGTTTCGCCTGCATCTATGGCAAGCATCCTCAGAGGTAGTGAAGTCTGTTGGAATTAGGACAATGGGTTTATATATCTGTGGAATGGCTGGGGTGGGGCAAAGAGCTCTTCTCTGCTAGAGCTAGGTGTGAATGTTTCAACTGACCTCTCAACAAAAGATTTTCCCAGGCCCAGCCAGGCCTTCAAATGCTAATGAAGGTGGTCAGTTGAAACATTCACACCTAGCTCCAGCAGAGAAGAGCTCTTTGCCCCACCCCAGCCATTCCACAGATATATAAACCCATTGTCCTAATTCCAACAGACCTCACTACCTCTGAGGATGCTTGCCATAGATGCAGGTGAAACATCAGGAGAAATGCCTCTAGAACATGGCCATATAGCCCGAAAAAACCCACAAGAACCTAGTTCTTCCTCATGTTCAGATGGAATCTCCTCTCTTGTCGTTTGAAGCCATTGTTCCATTGCGTCCTAGTTTCCAGGGAAGCAGAAATCAAGCTTGCTCCCTCCTCCCTGTGGCTTCCTCTCACATATTTATACATGGCTATCATATCTCCTCTCAGCCTTCTCTTCTTCAGGCTAAACATGCCCAGCTCCTTAAGCCACTCCTCATAGGGCTTGTTCTCCAGACCCTTGATCATTTTAGTCGCCCTCCTCTGGACACATTCCAGCTTGTCAATCTCTCTTGAATTGTGGTGCCCAGAATTGGACACAATATTCCAGGTGTGGTCTAACCAAAGCAGAATAGAGGGGTAGCATTACTTCCCTAGATCTAGACACTATGCTCCTATTGATGCAGGCCAAAATCCCGTTGGCTTTTTTTGCTGCCACATCACATTGTTGGCTCATGTTTAACTTGTTGTCCACGAGGACTCCAAGATCTTTTTCACATGTACTGTTCTCTTGAGTCAGGCCTTGTCCCCCATTCTGTATCTTTGCATTTTGTTTTTTCTGCCAAAGTGGAGTATCTTGCATTTGTCACTGTTGAACTTCATTTTGTAGTTTTGGCCCATCTCTCTAATCTGTCAAGATTGTTTTGAATTCTGCTCCTGTCCTGGAGTATTGGCTCTCCCTCCCAATTTGGTGCTGCAAACTTGATGATCCTGCCTTCTAACCCTTCATCTAAGTCATTAATCAAGATCCTGAACAGGACCGGGCCTAGGACAGAACCCTGACTGATGCCACTCCACTCGTCACTTCTTTCCAGGATGAAGGAGAGAATCACCCTCTGGGTTCGTCCATTTAACCAATTACAGATCCTCCTCTCAAGAGATTTCCAAGCTTCCATCAATCAGGCTTGATCTCTCTCCTCTCACCAGAGCTTTAAATAGGCTCCTTCTGTTTCCAAGCGCAGGCACAGAGCGTGCCGACGGTGGGCACCCTGTAAGAGGGTTTGGCACACACCAAAGTTGCTGCCAACTTGCTAAACTTGAATCCCAAAAGCAGGAGGCTGTTAGCTTGCCTTTTGCTTCATTTGCCGCTCTTCCTGGCCTTGTCGAAAAGGCTCCCTGGCCCAAGGAGAAGGTAGGAACCCGCGATGAGGGATTAGCCCCATCCTAATCCCTTCACCTCAGGGGCTGGAAAGGAGAGCTGCTGGCAATCTCCTTAGCAGAGGTTAAGATGGCAAGAGGAGGCCGGGGCGGAGCAGGTTGGTCGGAGGCACTGAGAGTCAAGAGCGCGGTTCAGCACAAGGATGGGGAGCATTGGACTGCAACTCCCAGCATCTCTTGCCATTGGATACGGTGACTAGGAAGAGATTCGTATGGAGGCAAATACATTTGGACACAAGAATCTCCTGGCAAGGTTTATTATCCTGCCCATGTGCTTTTCATCTCAAGAACAGACAAGCATCCCGAGTTCTGAGGATCACCTGGGAAGGAATCCCACTGGAGCATTGCAGCGCACCCAAATACCTGGGAGTCACTCTGGACCGTGCTCTGACCTACAAGAAGCACTGCCTGAACATCAAGCAAAAAGTGGGGCTAGAAACAATATCATACGAAAGCTGACTGGCACAACCTGGGGATCACAACCAGATGCAGTGAAGACATCTGCCCTTGCGCTGTGCTACTCTGCTGCTGAGTATGCATGCCCAGTGTGGAACACATCTCACCACACTAAAACAGTGGATGTGGCTCTTAATGAGACATGCCGCATTGTCACAGGGTGTCTGCGCCCTACACCACTGGAGAAATTACACTGCTTAGCTGGTATTGCACCACCTGACATCCGGGAAGTAGCAGCCAATAGTGAAAGGACCAAGGCAGAGACATCTCCAGCTCATCCCTTGTTTGGGTATCAGCCAGCACATCAACTTAAATCAAGAAATAGTTTTCTAAGATCTACAGAGACACTCGCTGGAACACCTCAGCAAGCGAGAGTCCAAAAGTGGCAGGCTCAAACCCAGAACCTCAACCAATGGCTGATACCAAATGAGAGACTCCCCCCCTGGGCACACAGAGGACTGGGCGACTTGGAAGGCGCTGAACAGACTGCGCTCTGGCACCACGAGATGCAGAGCCAACCTTCAGAAATGGGGCTACAAAGTGGAATCCTCGATATGCGAATGTGGAGAGGAGCAAACCACTGACCACCTGCTGCAATGCACCCTGAGCCCTGCCACATGCACAAGGGAGGACCTTCTTGCGGCAACACCAGAGGCACTCCAAGGGGCCAGATACTAGTCAAAGGACATTTAACCAACTACCAAGCTTGCAAACTCTGTTTTGTCTGTTTGTTAAAAAAATTGTTTAAAATTTAAAATGTAATACAATTTTCTGGTTGATATTGACACGATAAATAAATAAATGAATAGGTTCTTGTGGGTTTTTTTGGGCTATAAATAAATAAATAAATTATCCTGGCCACAACCCAGTTTGGGGTTTAAAACACTGGATTCTGCCTAATTCTGCCTAATTAGATGTTACAATACAATATGAATGGGTTCCTGAATTAGTAAGCTCAACAAATATCCCACTTATACAGAAAATAGAAAATAATAGAATTCAGTGTAAGAGTAGTATAAACTTGTTATACTGTTCAAATTCACAGTAATCACAAACAATATTATATGGGTTTTTTGTACAATCACTTTGAAATGGTATCAATGCCGTGTCCAATTCTGGGCACCACAATTGAAGAGAGATATTGACAAGCTGGAATGTGTCCAGAGGAGGGCAACTAAAATGATAAGGTCTGGAGAACAAGCCCTATGAGGAGCGGCTTAAGGAGCTGGGCATGTTTAGCCTGAAGAAGAGAAGGCTGAGAGGGGATATGATAGCCATGTATAAATATGTGATAGGAAGCCACAGGGAGGAGGGAGCAAGCTTGTTTTCTGCTTCCTTGGAGACTAGGACGCGGAACAATGGCTTCAAACTACAAGAGAGGAGATTCCATCTGAACATGAGGAAGAACTTCCTGACTGTGAGAGCTGTTCAGCAGTGGAACTCTCTGCCCTGGAGTGTGGTGGAGGCTCCTTCTTTGGAAGCTTTTAAACAGAGGCTGGATGGCCATCTGTCAGGGGTGCTTTGAATGCAATATTCCTGCTTCTTGGCAGAATAGGGTTGGACTGGATGGCCCAGGAGGTCTCTTCCAACTCTATGATTCTATGATTCTTATGCCGAGTTGAATATGAATCAGCCACTCATGACCGGTTTGCTGATAGGTTCGCCTTAAGGTGACCCTAAGTCAGATATGACTTGAAGGTGCACAACAATAACGATAAAGGTCAGGAAAAATGGGGGAGGTTTCCAAAACTCTGCTCCTCTCCCGCCCATGTTGTCTTCAGCCTCAGAGCTGGAAGTTATAATCTGGACTGCAGAGTTTCAAGGCTATCATCATCTTTTTGGAAGAGCTCCTGCCACATTTTTTTGACTGCAGACAGGAATGTTTCTGAATCCATTGCAATCTTGTGGGGAAAAATTCAGCTACCCCTTCTAAAAAGGATGAAGTGATCCTTAGAACGGAGGAAAAGTCAAACAGTGGCAAGGTACTGCGTATTACATCTCATAGATTATAATGCTCTCTTCCTAAAACAACTCGCTATCATCATCAGTAATGGAGAAAGGCACGGAGTTTCAGAAAAACATCTATTTCTGTTTTATCGACTATTCCAAAGCCGTTGACTGTGTGGATCATAATAAATTGTGGCAAGTTCTTGGTGGTCTGGGCATACCAAATCACTTTATCTCTCTCCTGAGGAATCTGTATAAGGACCAAGTAGCAACAGTCAGAACTGACCATGGAACAACAGACGGGTTCAAGATTGGGAAAGGCGTACGGCAAGGCTGCATCCTCTCCCCCAACCTATTCCACTTGTATGCAGAACACATCATGCAATGTGCGGGGCTTGACGAATGCAAGGCTGGGGTGAAAATTGCTGGAAGAAACATTAACAACCTTCGATATGCAGATGACACCGCTTTGATGGCCGAAAGCGAGGAGGAGCTGAGGAGCCTTCTCATCAAGGTGAAAGGAGAAAGCACAAAAGCTGGGTTGCAGCTAAACATCAAAAAACCAAGATTATGGCAACAAGAATGACTGACAACTGGGAAATAGAGGGAGATAACGTGGAGGCAGAGACAGGGTTTGTATTTCTAAGTGCAAAGATTACTGCAGACGCAGAGTGCAGCCAGGAAATCAGGAGATGCTTCCTTCTTGGGAGGAGAGCAATGTCCAATCTCGATGAAATAGTGAAGTGTAGAGACATCACATTGGCAACGAAGATCTGCATAGTCAAAGCAATGGTATTCCCCATAGTCACCTATGTTGTGAGAGCTGGACCTTAGGGAAGGCTGAGCGAAGGAAGAGAGATGCTTTTGAACTGTGGTGTTGGAGGGAAGTTCTGAGAATGCCTTGGACTGCGAGAAGATCCAACCAGTCCATCCTCCAGGAAATAAAGCCCGGCTGCTCACTGGAGGGAAAGATACTAGAGACAAAGTTGAAGTGCTTTGGCCACATCATGAGGAGAAAGGAAAGTTTAGAGAAGAGTATGATGCTGGGGAAAATGGAAGGAAAAAGGAAGCAGGTCCAACCAAGGGCAAGATGGATGGATGGTATCCTTGAGGTGACTGGATTGACCTTGAAGGAGCTGGGGGTGGTGACAGCCGACACGGTGCTCTGGCGTGGACTGGTCCATGAAGTCGTGAAGAGCCAGAAACGACTGAACGAATGAACAACAATTATCATCAGAGGTGATTCCTTGTGGCCAAATCTGATTGTCTTTCAAAAGTAGAGTCTTAGTAATGGGTCGGTGACTGTAGAGACCTATTCTGGTTCTTCATGGTCTATCACAGCGTTCCTCCAGCTGGAGGGGTCACGAGAGGGGTTACATAGGGGTCATCAAAGACCAACAGAAAACACAATATTTTCTGTATTGTCGAAGGCTTTCATGGCTGGAATCACTAAGTTCTTGTGGGTTTTTTCGAGCTATATGGCCATGTTCTAGAGGCATTTCTCCTGACATTTCGCCTGCATCTATGGCAAGCATCCTCAGAGGTGAGGATGTTGGTCATGAGACCATTTTCTGTTGGTCATGAGAGTTCTGTGTGGGAACTTTGGCCCAATTCTATGGTTGGTGGGGTTCAGAATGCTCTTTGATTGTTTTGTCCATAGTCATCATTGTTTGAGTCCACATTGCTCTCTGGAAGTAGGTGAACTACAACTCCAAAATTCAACCCAAACACTCCGCTTATTTTATGTTGGTCATGGAAGTTCTGTGTGCCAAGTTTGGTTCAATTCTATCGTTGGTGGAGTTCAGAACACTCTTTGATTGTAGGTGAACTACAAATCCCAACTACTACAACTCCCAAATGAACCCCCCCCCCCCAAATCCCACTAATATTCAAATTTGGGCAAATTGGGTATTTGTACGAAATTTGGTCCACCGAATAAATATCCTGCCTTCAATATTTCTTAACATTAGGTTTTTTTTTCAGATCTTGTTAACTCAAAATCCAAAAGTTGTCTAAAGAAGAAGAGCCATCTGTCAGCAGGTGCTTTGATTGTGCTTTTCCTTCCTTACTTACTTACTTTGGCGATCCCTCATTGGCCAAGTAGGATATTCTTCCAGGATCAGTGTTCTGGGGGGTCCGTAGGTGACTGTGGAGCCCTATTCTTGATCTGCATCTTCTCCCGCAGTGAGGGCATTGGTTACCAGGTGGAAGGCGGTCTCGGTTGGGGTTGGCTTGACGCGCCTTCCTCTTGGCACATTTCTCTCTTTTGCCCTCCATTTGTGCCTCTTCAAATTCTACAGCACTGCTGGTCACAACAGACCTCCAGCTGGAGCGCTTAAGGGCCAGGGCTTCCCAGTTCTCAGTGTCTATGCCACAGTTGTTAAGGTTGGCTTTGAGCCCATCTTTCAATCTCTTTTCCTGTAACATTCCATTTTCCGTTCTTGAATTCGGAGTGGAGCAACTGCTTTGGGAGACGGTGGTCAGGCATCCGGACAACGTGGCCGGTCCAGCGGAGTTGATGGCGGAGGAGCATCACTTCAGTGATGGTAGTCTTTGATTCTTCCAGCATGCTGATGTTTGTCCGCCTGTCTTCCCAAGAAATTTGCAGGATTTTCCAGAGGCAGCTCTGATGGAATCGTTCCAGGAGTTGCATGTGATGTCTGTAGACAGTCCACATCTCGCAGGCATATAGAAGGGTTGGGAGGACAATAGCTTTATAAACAAGCACCTTGGTATCCCTACAGATGTCCCGGTCCTCAAAAAAATGCTGCTCTCGCAGAGCTCAGGCGGTGTTGTATTTCGGTGTCGATGTTGACTTTGGTGGAGAGGTGGCTGCCAAGGGAGCGGAAATGGTCAACATTTTCTAATTTTACACCATTAAGCTGTATTTCTATGAGGATGTTGATTTCCAGATAGAAGGTGGTCCTGATAAGGGTTTGCTTGATGTGCTTTCTTCCTCTTGCCCTCCATTCGTGCCTCTTCAAAATCCATTAGCAAAATCCACAGCTGTCCTCCAGTTCGAGTGATTTAGGGGCAAGGCTTCCCAGTCCTCAATGTTCTTTCCACATTTTTAAGGTTGGTTTTTAGCCCATCTTTTAATCTCTGTTGCTGACCCATGTCTTTGTGCCTTTCCTTTATAGACCGAGGCGATCAGCTGCCAAACCAGCCCCCAAGTGGACTCCAAAACTACAACCACCGGCTTGTCCGTGGTTACAAGCTCCTTTGGTCAGGTGAACCGCAGGCGACCTGTCAGCTATGCAGAACCAAGGATCGAAGCCGTCCACAATGCCAATGGCTCCGCTCGGGAGAATGACACCTGCGAGTTGCCGCTTCCTGAGGCTTTGCAGCAGCTCCGCTTGGAGGGGTCGCAGGGCAAGAATGGCGTCAAGTCAGCCGCGGGGCTGACCGACCCATCATGCTTGCTGACCCCGCCAAACACGCCTCTCACCTTCGACTCCACAAGTCTCGAACTTGCTCCAGAGACCCACCTGGGGAAAAGTGTGACGGACCCTCGAAGGAACGGCTTCAGTGGTGCCAAAACCACCACTTCTGAAGGTAAGAAGTATTACGGTATATTGTTGTAAGTCCAGTGTGTGTGTGTTAAAGGAAACCTTGCAGAAAAGCCTTGCAAAGTGTTAATGATTAACTGCAGCTGCAAAAGCTCAGCTCAGCAAGGCTGGGCCACGCCTCTTGAATGTAACAGTTTTCTGAGGCTTTTGCAAACTGTTAGCAGTTGGCTGTTTGATTTGCTGGAGAGCAGATGCAAGAAGCTCATGTTATGGTGAAGTAACCATGTACTTTTGTTATGCTCTATGATTTATAACACAGAAGATTTATTCTGTATTACTTACAGAGACTATGTAAGTGTGCCAAGCTGTTTTATTTTCAAACTCTAAAACCAAGAGTAAAGTTCTACTGTTTTATTTCTTCTGACAAGTGGAGTGCCTCAGGGTTCCGTCCTGGGCCCGGTCCTGTTCAACATCTTTATTAATGACTTAGATGAAGGGCTAGAAGGCATGATCATCAAGTTTGCAGACGACACCAAATTGGGAGGGATAGCCAATAGTCCAGAGGACAGAGCAGAATTCAAAATGATCTTGACAGATTAGAGAGATGGGCCAAAACTAACAAAATGAAGTTCAACAGTGACAAATGCAAGATACTCCACTTTGGCAAAAAAAATGAAATGCAAAGATACAGAATGGGGGACGCCTGGCTCGAGAGCAGTACGTGTGAAAAAGATCTTGGAGTCCTCGTGGACAACAAGTTAAACATGAGCCAACAATGTGATGTGGCGGCAAAAAAAGCCAATGGGATTTTGGCCTGCATCAATAGGAGCATAGTGTCTAGATCTAGGGAAGTAATGCTACCCCTCTATTCTGCTTTGGTTAGACCACATCTGGAATATTGTGTCCAATTCTGGGCACCACAATTCAAGAGAGATATTGACAAGCTGGAATGTGTCCAGAGGAGGGCGACTAAAATGATCAAGGTTCTGGAGAACAAGCCCTATGAGAAGCGGCTTAAGGAGCTGGGCATGTTTAGCCTGAAGAAGAGAAGGCTGAGAGGAGATATGATAGCCATGTATAAATATGTGAGAGGAAGCCACAGGGAGGAGGGAGCAAGCTTGTTTTCTGCTTCCCTGGAGACTAGGACGCGGAACAATGGCTTCAAACTACAAGAAAGGAGATTCCATTTGAACACTAGGAAGAACTTCCTGACTGTGAGAGCCGTTCAGCAGTGGAACTCTCTGCCCCGGAGTGTGGTGGAGGCTCCTTCTTTGGAAGCTTTTAAGCAGAGGCTGGATGGCCATCTGTCAGGGGTGATTTGAATGCAATATTCCTGCTTCTTGGCAGGGGTTGGACTGGATGGCCCATGAGGTCTCTTCCAACTCTTTGATTCTATGATTCTATGATTCTATGACTGGTCTGTGTCTTTGGCATTGGGTTTTGGACATGTTGGACATTGCTACTGCGCAACAAATTGATTCTGCGTAACAAGAAGGGCCTTATAATAATACTTTATTCATATTCTGTCCTATCTCCCCAAGGGGACTCAGGGCAGATCACAGTACACATACACGGCAAATATTCGATGCTATTTTGGACAGACAGGACAGACAGGAGTTATGTTGTGTCGACATCCAGCTTTTTGGCGCCTTGGAGGTTGTGCTCTAATCCAGCCAGAGGGAGGTGCTGTCACTCCATCCTCTATGACGGAGAACCATCAGGACTTCCTCCTTCCTTTTGGTTACTGAGCATTTTCTGATCTTTTTCTTTTATGGTGTAAAATATCTCCCCTGCTTTTTAGCGGTACCTAATTTCTTTACTTACATCTCTGAGTTATTTTCAAACTGCTTAGGTAAACAGTAAGATGGGCTGACAGTCAGGAGCTCATGCCAATCCGGGGCTTCGAATTGACAACCTTTTGGTTGGTAGAGCTTATCATTGCTGGTGATTTACCAGCTGCCCTTAATTGGAATGAGCGCTGGGCTGGGCATTGAGAACTTGAATTTGAATAAGATCTCGATAAGTTCAGCTTCTGCTGAGTGGATTGACTAAGTTTCCAAGGTTGATGGTTCTTCTGGTTGGGCACAAAAGCACCGCCAAGAGTGACCGGAGGAAGACTAGAGTGGTTACACAGCTCTACACCACCAAACCACATTTTGATTACCCCAGACTAAGAGTGTTTCCACATTACCGACCCTCACCATGGGAACTGATCGATAAATAGATACATTAGGCAGGAAAACACTAAGGGAAACCTATCACGAGGTTTTCTTGCCAAGACTGTTCCTCTGAGTCTGCCCAGGCACTTCCAAGCCATTAAATGCTAATCAAGGTGGTCAGTTGAAACATTCACACCTAGCTCCAGCAGACAAGAGTCCTTTGTCCCACCCTGGTCATTCCACAGATATATAAACCCATTTTCCTACTTCCAACAGACCTCACTACCTCTGAGGATGCTTGCCATAGATGCAGGCGAAACGTCAGGGGAAAATGCCTCTAGAACATGGCCATATAACCCGGGAAAAACCTACAACAATAATATTTTCATATTGCCTTAGCAGCAACTTTGAAGAAAATCCTCAAACAGAGATGGGATGAAATGCACGGGTGGGATTGTTCCTTAGTTTCCAGTGGGTGCCTGAATGCCAGGACATCCAGTAGCCTGGGGCCACTGTGCGTGGGCACCCATTTTGACACAACACTCTTATTTAAAAATTGCCTAGAAGTGTTAATTGCGCAGTTTTTTCCCTCCTCCAGCATTTTCGCCTCCTTGGGCAGACCCGCACTTTCAGCCCTGTCTGTGGAGAGGAGATCCGTCTCTGGCCAAATGAGTTGCTGACCAAAGCTCTTCAGGTTGCCAAGAATCTCTCCCGGCCTTCAAGGCTGCAGCTGCAAAATGTTCCCATTTTCTTCCCTTGCCATTTCTTGTGAGTCACTCGGCGGGAGCAGCTGGAGGAGCGTGCTTGCCAAGTTCATTTGGAGAGACATGAATCCAGTCTCCTCAGAGGAGAGCTTGGTTTCCGGTGGGTCTTGATGCGTCTCCAAGTGTCCTCTGGATACATCTCCCTCCGCATGGAGGACGTCGGGAGGATGATGAGCTGCCCTCCTCCCCTGGACAGAGCCACAAAGGTCCAGAGTTTTCAAGAGCAAAGCTGGGGGGAAAGCAATTGTTAGATGACAATTACCCTGTTATGCCAGCTCTGAGCCCAATTTTGACCTATAGTGAAAGGACCAAGGCAGTGACATCTCCGGCCCATCCCCTGTTTGGGTATCAGCCAGCATGCCAACTACTTAAATCAAAAAATAGTTTCCTAAGATCTACAGAGACACTTGCTGGAATACCTCAGCAAGCAAGAGTCCAAAAGTGGCAGGCTCAAACCCAGAACCTCAAGGCATAGTTTCCTAAGATCTACAGTGACACTTGCTGGAACACCTCAGCAAGCAAGAGTCCAAAAGTGGCAGGCTCAAACCCAGAACCTCAATCAATGGCTGATACCTAATGAGAGACTCCCTCCTGGGCACACTGAAGACTGGGCGACTTGGAAGGTGCTGAACAGACTGCGCTCTGGCACCACGAGATGCAGAGCCGACCTTCAGAAATGGGGCTACAAAGCTCTATACGGTTCTGGCCCAGGTTACTTGTCCGAACGAATCCACCCTTACATCCCACCTCGTACTCTAAGATCATCCAGGGAGGCCCTGCTCTCGCTCCCGTCAACAGCACAAATGCAGCTGACAGGAATGAGCAGGGCCTTCTCGGCTGTGGCCCCCCGCCTATGGAACACACTCCCAAAGGAGGTAAAATCTGCTCCTTCTCTCCTGACCTTTAGAAAAAAAATCATGGTTTTGGGACCAGGCCTTCGGACAATAGATGTATGCAGCTTTTTAGAGGGACAAGGACTGGAACGGCGACTCGACTGATGAGATTTGGTTGCTGAACAACAAAAGTACTGGAAACATTTGATGGGCATTGACCTTTAATTTGGGAGTTGTAGTCCACCTACACCCAGAGAGCACTGTGGGCTGAAACAATGATGGATCTGGACCAAACTTGGCATGGATACTCAATATGCCCAAATGTGAACACTAGTGGAGTTCGGGGGAAACAAACCTTGACATTTGGAAGTTGTAGTTGCTGGGTTTTATAGTTCCCCTATAATCTAAGAGCATTCTGAACTCCACCAACGATGGAGTCAAACCCAACTTGGCACATGGAACTCCCACGACCAAGAGAAAATACTGGAAGGGTTTGGTGGTCATTGAACTTGAGTTTTGGAGTTGTAGTTCACCTACATCCAGAGAGCACTGTGGACTCAATGATAGATCTGAACCAAACTTGGCATGAATTCTCAATATCCCCAAATGTAAATATTGGTAGAGTTGGGGGAAAATAGACATTGACATTTGGGAGTTGTAGTTGCTGGGATTTATAATTCACCTACAATCAAAGAGCATTCTGAACTCCACCAATGATAGAATTAAACCAAACTTGGCACACAGAACTCCCATGACCAACAAAATATACTGAAAGGATTTGATTGGCATTGACCTTGAATTGGGGAGTTGTAGTTCAGCTACATCAAGAGAGCACAGTGGACTCAAACAATGGTGGATCTGGACCAAACTTGGCATGGATATTTATTATGCCCAAATGTGAACACTGGCTGGGTTTGGGGAAAACAAACCTTGACATTTGGAAGTTGTACTTGCTGGGCTTTATAGTTCACCTACAATCAAAGAGCATTCTGAACCACACCAACAATAGAATTGGGCCAAACTTCCCACACAAAACCCCCATGACCAACAGAAAATACTGTGTTTTTAGTAGTTTTTGGTGACCCCTCTGACACCCCCTTGTGATTCCCTCAGGGGTCCCAACCCCCAAGTTGAGAAACACTACCTACGGAGTCCATCTTAGCTGATCTACAAGTATTTCTAGAAGGTGAATTGTCTGTAAGGCTAACAAGCCTTTCTTTCTTGGTTTCTCTCCAGGTTCTTCACCAACACCTTACGACTTCCCAACTCCTGCTTCTTCGAGTCGCAGCTCAGCCACCGATGACTTCTGCTACGTCTTTGTGGTGGAACTGGAAAAGGGACCCATCGGCTTGGGGATGGGGCTGATCGATGGTCTGGTAGGTGGTGGCCCGAGAAACAAGACTCGGTGGGCTAAGATCTTCTCCTGTAGACTTGTTGAGTTGCCATTATTTTGGGAGAAGATGAAACTATAGGCTTTTGGTGTAGGACAGTGGTTCTCAACCTGTGGGTCCCCAGGTGTTTTGGCCTACAACTCCCAGAAATCCCAGCCAGTTTACCAGCTGTTAGGATTTCTGGGAGTTGAAGGCCAAAACATCTGGGGATCCACAAGTTGAGAACCACTGGTGTAGGACATCATTCCTGCAACCCAGAGCAGGAAACGAGACCTTAAGACAACAATCCACCACACTTGACTGTGGGGAAAATCAATCCCTTTTTATTGATGAAAAAGGTTACAAAATAGAGGAAAATGCAAAGTCAAAAAGCCACAGTAAAAATCAGCAATCAGAAGTATCCATGAACTAGATCAAAAACCAAAAGCAACACTGTAAAATCCTGGAACCTGTTAGCAATCCACTAACCGTACTTGGAGCACTAGAAGCCTCTTGGGATGAAGGCCACAGGAAACGGGAGATCGGCCAAGGTAATGCCTCAGTTTAAATACCTGGGAGTCACTCTGCCTGAACATCAAGCAAAAAGTGGGCGCTAGAAACAATATCATACGAAAGCTGACTGGCACAACCTGGGGATCAACCAGACTCAGTGAAGACATCTGCCCTTGTGCTTTGCTACTCTGCTGCTGAGTATGCATGCCCAGTGTGGAACACATCTCACCACACTAAAACAGTGGATGTGGCTCTTAATGAGACATGCCGCATTATCACGGGGTGTCTGCGCCCCACACCACTGGAGAAATTACACTGCTTAGCCGGTATTGCACCACCTGACATCCGCCGGGAAGTAGCAGCCAATAGTGAAAGGACCAAGGCAGAGACATCTCCAGCTCATCCCCTGTTTGGGTATCAGCCAGCACGTCAACGACTTAAATCTAGAAATAGTTTTCTAAGATCTACAGAGACACTTGCTGGAACACCTCAGCAAGCGAGAGTCCAAAAGTGGCAAGCTCAATCCCAGAACCTCAATCAATCGCTGAAACCAAATGAGAGACTCCCCTCTGGACACACAGAAAACTGGGCGACTTGGAAGTCGCTGAATAGACTGTGCTCTGGCACCACGAGGTGCAGAGCCAACCTTAGGAAATGGGGCCACAAAGTGGAATCCACAACATGTGAATGTGGAGAAGAGAAAACCACTGACCACCTGCTGCAATGCAACCTGAGCCCTGCCACATGCACAATGGAGGACCTTCTTGCGGCAACACCGAGGCACTCCAAGTGGCCAGATACTGGTCAAAGGACATTTAATCAACTACCAAACTCACAGTTCTGTAATTTTCTGTTTGTTTGCTTTGTTCTGTTAGAAATGTAATATAATGGACTGGTTGCTCTGACACGACAAAAAAAAAGTCTAAAACGATGCCTGATCTAAAGAGTCAACCCGGCGAGAGGCACTTAAAGCCGAGGAATCTGTTTCGTGGCATGCCTCCAGGCTTTGAAGCCCTTGTTTCTTTTTCTTTCAATCTGGCTGACCTTCGCAGACTCTGCGATTCACCCCTGTTTTGCCAAATCTGTCCTCTTCTATCCTCATTAAGGATCCCAGGTGTTAGCTTGCTCTGGAGAGCTATCACTGCTTGGCTCTGAAACATTCTCATGAGAATGTGTACTTTCACTTTCCAAGCCTGCAGGAGTTTCTTCTACACTGACCTCAGAATCAACATTTTCATTAGCATCAGGAAATACATTTTCAGTAGCATCAGGAAATACAATCAGAGAATCAGGTTCAGGTTCACACCCAGGCTGAACCCCAACACTATGGAGTAATGGAAGTTATAGTCTTAACACACTCTGGAGGGTACCAGTAATGCAAACATGCTCTGCTGATGAGGTGAAGCAGAAGTACACTATTACATTGGCACTACCTATCTGTGCTCACCTGTCCTTCCTGCATATTGAAATATGCCTTTTGCATACTCCAATTTATTATGGATCATAATAAATGGTGGAAAGTTCTTGGTGGGATGGGCATCGCAAGCCCCCTTCCCTCTCTCCTGAGGAATCTGTACAAGGACCAAGTAGCAACAGTCAGAACTGACCACGAACAGACTGGTTCAAGATTGGGAAAGGCGTACGGCAAGGCTGCATCCTCTCACCCAACCTTTTTAACTTGTATGCAGAACACATCATGCGAGGATGTGCGGGGCTGGATGAATGCAAAGCTGGGGTGAAAATTGCTGGAAGAAACATTAACAACCTCAGATATGCAGATGACACCACTCTGATGGCCGAAAGCGAGGAGGAGCTGAGGAGCCTTCTAATCAAGGTGAAAGAAGAAAGCGCAAAAGCCGGGTTGCAGCTAAACGTCAAAAAAAACCAAGATTATGGCAACAAGAATGATTGACAACTGGAAAATAGAGGGAGAAAATGTGGAGGCCGTGACAGACTTTGTATTTCTAGGTGCAAAGATGACTGCAGATGCAGACTGTGGCCAGGAAATCAGAAGACGCTTCCTTCTTGGGAGGAGAGCCATGTCCAGTCTCGATAAAATAGTAAAGAGCAGAGACATCAGACTGGCAACAAAGATCCATTGCCTAGTCAAAGCCATGGTCTTCCCTGTAGTCACCTACGGATGTGAGAGCTGGACCTTAGGGAAGGCTGAGCGAAGGAAGATCGATGCTTTTGAGCTGTGGTGTTGGAGGAAAGTGCTGAGAGTGCCTTGGACTGCGAGAAGTTCCAACCAGTCCATCCTCCAGGAAATAAAGCCCGACTGCTCACTGGAGGGAAGGATACTAGAGACAAAGTTGAAGTACTTTGGCCACATCATGAGGAGACAGCAAAGCCTGGAGAAGACAATTATGCTGGGGAAAGTGGAAGGCAAAAGGATGAGGGGCCGACCAAGGGCAAGATGGATGGATGGCATCCTTGAAGTGACTGGACTGACCTTGAAGGAGCTGGGGGTGGTGACGGCCGACAGGGAGCTCTGGCGTGGGCTGGTCCATGAGGTCACGAAGAGTCGGAGACGACTGAACGAATGAACAACAACATCCTCCATTCTTTCAACGTACACTCCCAGTTCCTGGTTTCTTTGCCTTTGGAGTGCGTTGGGGACTTACACTAATTGTGTATTGTGTTTATTCATCAACATACAGGTGTAGATCAGGCAGGTAATTCTAGTCCAATTCCCCCCCCCCCCACCCAAAGCGGAAAAACATGTTTGCATCTGCCCAAAGCTATTTATTGCTTGGCCCTTTTGCTTTGATCCAACGTGGCTCTTTTGGTGTCATTAGGGCATCGCATTTTTACTCCGCATAACAAACAACACCGTGAGGGATGTTCATCTTTCAGCCGTCTCAAAGGAGAAACAAGGGCCAAAGAAATGTGATCCGAGTCCACGGAGCTGTTCGCCTTCTCTCTTTTCATAACAGATGAGCTCACCACCCAGGGTGAAGCTTCTCTCTCCAGAGAGCTGGAAGAAGTGGGAGAAATCCTGTTTGCTCAAAACTATCATCTGTTTAAGTATGAGGGTTGAATGAAAAGTAATGCCTCCAACGATGCACAGTACTCACATCAACACAATGGCCATAAACAGCTTGCATTCTCTGATGAATCTCCTTTGGGGTGACACCTTCTGCTGTCAAAAATTCAATGACTGCACGTTGGGCGAGTAAGTTTAAAGATGTTGAGGTGGGAACATCTGACTTGCGTGACAAACAAAGAGTTGGACGTCCTGTGATAGCAACCACCGAGTTTCACAAGCAACAGGTTGACAGATTGATTCAGGACGATTGTTGTATCACTCAGAGAGAAATTTCAAGCATAATCGGCATTTCATAAGAATGTGTGGGTCACATTATTGCTTTGCTTGGCTATTGGAAGATCTGTGCACAATGGGTACCCAGGATGAGAGAACTGTGAGACGCTGGTTGCGGAAACAGAGTGTCGATTTCTTCTGTGACGGCTTCAGAAAACTTGTTGATTGTTGGCAGAAATGTATCCAATTGTCTGGTGATTATGTGGAAAAAGTAAAGCATAATTGGCTATCGGAAGATCTGACGCCTGAAATGAAAGCACACAGACTTAAAACTTAAGAGACCGGATCTCACCACCGTACGGCATCCTCCATACAGTCCAGATTTAGCACCGTCTGACTTCCATCTGTTCCCGATAATGAAAGAAGATCTGGGGGGACATCATGATGCTTCTGATGAAGACGTTGAGAGAATTCTTGACCACAGAAGGTGTCACCCAAAAGGAGATTCCTTAGAGAATGCAAGCTGTTTATGGTGATTGTGTTGATGCGGATTTTACAAGGGTGGAATGAAAAGTAATGCCTCCACCTTGGTAACTTCTCCACAGATGGCAGTACTGGTATGCAGAGGTACTGACTTGTTCAGTAGTCTCTCCTCTACAGTTCCATTTTGGTGGGAAGTCTTAGCATTGAACGGTTGTGCATAGAACCCTGCGCAAAGTATGGAACCCTGCGCACACGTTAGTCAATGCGACTTAAGCAATGTGAAGTCATTGAATTCTTGACAGCAGAAGGTGTCCCCCAAAGGAGATTCCTCAGAGAATGCAAGCTGTTTATGGTGATTGTGTTGATGTGAGGAATGTGCATCGTTGGGCGAGGAAGTTTAAAGATGTTGAGGTGGGAACATCAAACTTGCATGACAAACAAAGAGTTGGGCGTCCTGTGACAGCAACCACCGAGTTTCACAAGCAAAAGTTTGATAGATTGATTCAGGATGATCGTTGTGTCACTCAGAGAGAAATTTCAAGCATACTCAGCATTTCACAAAAACGCGTTGGACACATTATTGCTTTGCTTATGTATTGGAAGATCTGTGCACGATGGGTACCCAGGATGCTGATGCCTGAAATGAAAGCGCACAGACTTGAAACTTCAGAGAGTGGATCTCACCACCGTACGGCATCCTCCATACAGTCCAGATTCAGCACCATCTGACCTCCATCTGTTCCCGATAATGAAAGAAGATCTGCGAGGACATCATTCTGCTTCTTATGAAGACATTGAGAGAAATATAAGACGCTCGTTGCGGAAACAGAGTGTCGACTTCTTCCGTGACGGCTTCAGAAAATTTGTTCATTGTTGGGAGAAATGTATCCAATTGTCTGGTGATTATGTGGAAAAGTGAATAGTGGTAGTTAAAGAGCACATTCTAAGGTTTATTTCTGCATTTGATTTATTAAAATATTCCCATCCAAACCCAAGTAATGAAAGTGGAGGCATTACTTTTCATTCACCCTCGTAGACTAAATGTATTTTCATCAGTACTGCTAAATGGCAGAATATCTGGCCTCCCCCACTCCCAAAGATTATGCCTGTGTGGTGGAAATGAAATAGAATCATTAGACCACATCTTGGTGCAGTGTCGCTATTACTCAGTTCACTGAAATTCAACACCGCCTGAGCTCTGCGAGTGCAGCCTTTTTCCGAATGAAGCAGAGAGTGTTTGAGAACCAGGACATCCGTAGGGATACCAAGGTGCTTGTTTATAAAACTATTGTCCTCCCAACCCTGCTATATGCCTGCAAAACGTGGACTGTCTACAGATGTCACATGCATCTCCTAGAACAATTTCATCAGCGCTGCCTCTGAAAAATCCTGCAAATCTCTTGGGAAGACAGGCCGAAAATGTCAGCGTACTGGAAGAAGCAAAGACCACCAGCATTGAAGCGATGGTCCTCCGCCATCAGCTCCACTGGACCGTACATATTGTCCAGATGCCCGACCACCATCTCACAAAGCAGTTGCTCTACTCTGAACTCAAGAATGGAAAACGGAATGTTGGTGGACAGGAAAAGAGATTGAAAGACAGACTCAAAGCCAACCTTAAAAACTCTGGCATAGACACTGAGAACTGGGAAGCCCTGGCCCTTGAGAGCTCCAGCTGGAGGTCAGCTGTGATCAGCAGTGCTGTGGAGTTTGAAGAGGCACGAATGGAGGGTGAGAGAAATGTGCCAAGAGGAAGGTGTGTCAAGCCAACTCCGTCCGAGACCGCCTTCCACCTGGAAACCAATGACCTCACTGCGGGAGAAGATGCAGAGCAAGAATAGGGCTCCACAGTCACCTACGGACCCACCACCAGAACACCGACCTTGGAGGACCACCATCCTCAGACTACGAGGGATCGCCTAAGTGACTTGGTTCATCGAGGCCAACTCTTACACCCAATCCTGACCCTGACCATTCCCCACAAAGAAAGGTCAGATATCTTATGGAGGACAAGCACCACGGGGTGACCCTCACGGTGGCAAAGTTCCTTGCAGCGGCAGCAAGGCTGAGAAAGACTGTATTACCTGACACTGTGTACTTACTTTCTTACTTAGGCGATCCCTCGTTTTCCGAGGAGGATTGTCTTCCAATATTCTTGTGGGTCTGTATGTGGCTGTAGAGCCCTATTCTTGCTCTGCATCTTCTCCCACAGTGAGGGCATTGGTTTCCAGGTGGAAGGCAGTCTCGGTCCGGGTTGGCTTGACGTGCCTTCCTCTTGGCATGCTTCTCCCTTTCGCCCTCCATTCGTGCCTCTTCAAATTCTGCAGCACTGCTGGTCACAGCCGACCTCCAGCTGGAGCAGTCAAGGGCCAGGGCTTCCCAGTTCTCAGTGTCTATGCCAGAGTTTTTAAGGTTGGCTTTGAGCCCATCTTTAAATCTCTTTTCCTGTCCACCAACATTACGTTTTCCGTTCTTGAGTTCGGAATAGAGCAACTGCTTTGGGAGACGGTGGTCGGGCATCCGGACAACGTGGCCGGTCCAGCAGAGTTAATGGCGGAGGAGCATCGCTTCAATGCTGGTGGTCTTTGCTTCTTCCAGCACGCTGACATTTGTCCACTTTTCTTCCCAAGAGATTTGCAGGATTTTTCAGAGGCAGCGCTGATGGAATTGTTCCAGGAGTTGCATGTGACGCCTGTAGACAGTCCACGTCTCACAGGCATAGAGCAGGGTTGGGAGGACAATAGCTTTATAAACAAGCCCCTTGGTCTCCCTACCGATGTCCCAGTCCTCAAACACTCTCTGCTTCATTCCGAAAAATGCTGCACTCGCAGAGCTCAGGCAGTGTTGTATTTTGGTGTCAATGTTGACTTTGGTGGAGAGGTGGCTGCCAAGGTAGGGGAAATGATCAACATTTTCTAATGTTACACCATTACGCTGTATCGCTGGCATTGGAGAGAGGTTGGCTGGTGTCTGCTGGAACAGCACCTTGGTTTTTTCGATGTTCAATGACAGGTCGAGCTTCTCATATGCTTCTGAGAAGGTGTTTAGAGTGGCTTGTAGATCTTCTGAATGTGCACAGACGACGTTGTCATCAGTATATTGGAGTTCTATAACAGATGTTGTTGTAACCTTGGTTTTGGCTTTCAGTCTGTTGAGGTTGAATAGCTTACCATCTGTCCGATAAATGATTTCCACTCCGGTGGGAAGCTTCCCATTAAGAAGGTGAAGTATCATAGTGATGAAGATGGAGAATAGAGTTGGGGCAATAACACATCCCTGTTTGATGCCGGATTCCACTTTAAATGGGTCACTTTGGGAGCCATTGCTGTCCAAAACTGTTGCCATCATGTCATCATGGACGAGCCACAGGGTGTTCACAAATTTGTTAGGGCACCCGATTTTTTGGAGGATGGTCCAGAGAGCACTGCGATTCAGTGTCAAATGCCTTTGCAAGGTCAATGAATACTATGTAGTTTGTGTTTGTATAGTATAGTTCCCCGGTTATGAGGGATCTGTAAACTCCTGTATGTTATCTAACAGTCATGGGTCCATGGACTGGAATAAAGTATTGTTGCTGTATTGCCTCTGTGGGTGGTGAACTCTCCCTTTTTGGAGGCCAAGCAGGGATTGGGTGGGTACCAATCAGGAGTGCTTCAGTATTCCTGGCAAGGGATTCAATTAGATGGCTTTGCAGTCTCTTCCGTGATTCAGCATCATTGCCGATTACAGCCCCTTGGCCCTAGCCATAGGCTAGATAGAAGGCCAGAGTGAATTAGATGGAGTCATTCCTTTTGGAGCTGGCACAGGTTTCTCTGCCACAAATCCTGGACCAAAGTCCTCTGCAGATGCAGAAGTCCTCCTCCCCCAAAGCCACCCACCTGTGGCCTTTTTGCAAAACCACAATTCTCTTTCTCATTCTGCTCTCCTTATGCTTTTCCAGCACACCCCCTTGAATTCTCCCGGGATCTACATCAGGACTCTGATCCAGGACAGCCCTGCAGCAGCCGACGGCAGACTCTCCATTGGGGACCGGATCCTGGCCGTCAATGGCACAAGCCTCATTGGTTCTGACTACCAGAGGTAGGCACAAAGGGAACCGCTACTGATGGTGCAGAACTGCATAAACAAGCAGGGACATGTGTTACAACTCAAGTAGCTCATTCAGTTTCCGTCATGCGCTCGGGCTTCCTGCTCTGGTTTTCTTTTAACCCTCAGGCTATATATTTTAAATCACTGTTGCTTGTCCTGAAACTGTTCTGATTTTTAGAGTGCCATTTCCAGGGTCATGCCTACACCGTACAGGTTGAGTATCCCCTTTTCTGAAATGCTTGGCATCCCAGAATCATAGAATCAAAGATTTGGAAGAGACCTCATGGGCCATCCAGTCCAACCTCCTGCCAAGGAGCAGGAAAATTGCTCTCAAAGCACCCCTGACATGGCCATCCAGCTTCTGTTTAAAAGCTTCCAAAGAAGGAGCCTCCACCACACTCTGGGGCAGAGTTCCACTGCTGAACAGCTCTCACAGTCAGGAAGTTCTTCCTAATGTTCAGATGGAATCTCCTTTGTAGTTTGAAGCCATTGTTCCATGCGTCCTAGTCTCCAGGGAAGCAGTAAACAAGCTTGCTCCCTCCTCCTCCCTGTGGCTTCCTCTCACATATTTATACATGGCCTCATATCTCCTCTCAGCCTTCTCTTCTTCAGGCTAAACATGCCCAGCTCCTTAAGCCGCTCCTCATAGGGCTTGTTCTCCAGACCCTTGATCATTTGAGTCGCCCTCCTCTGGACACATTCCAGCTTGTCAATATCTCTCTTGAATTGTGGGGCCCAGAATTGGACACAATATTCCAGGTGTGGTCTAACCAAAGCGGAATAGAGCATGGGGAGCATGACTTCCCTGGACCTAGACACTAGGCTCCTCTTGATGCAGGCCAAAATCCCATTGGCTTTTTTTGCCGCCACATCACATTGTTGGCTCATGTTTAACTTGTTGTCCACGAGGACTCCAAGATCTTTTTCACACGTACTGCTCTCGAGCCAGGCATCATCCCCCATTCAGAGTTGGAAGAGACCTGGAGACAGTACTTTCTGTGCAAGGCAACATTTTTCAATTCAGAATATATTATATAGACTTGTACATTTGGAAGGAGGCCTCAAGAGACATCAAGTCCAACCCCCTTCTGCCATGCAGGAAGGCACAATCAAAGCACTCTCGACAGATAGCCATTTAGTCTTTAGAATCATAGAGTTGGAAGAGGCATTGTGGGCCATCCAGTCCACCTGGAGATTCCACCTGAACATGAGGAAGAACTTCCTGACTGTGAGAGCTGTTCAGCAGTGGAGCTCTCTGCTCTGGAGTGTGGTGGAGGCTCCTACTTTGGAGGTTTGAAACACAGGCTGGATGGCCATCTGTCAGAGTGGTTGCCAAAGACCATCAGGAAACACAGTATTTTTCTGTTAGTCATGGGGATTCTGTGTGGGAAGTTTGGCCCAATTCTATCATTGGTGGGTTCAGAATGCTCTTTGATTGTAGGTGAACTATAAATCCCAGCAACTACAACTCCCAAATGTCAAGTCTATTTCCCCAAACTCCACCAGTGTTCACATTTGGGCATATTGAGTATCCATGCCAAATGTGGTCCAGATCCATCATTGTTTGTGTCCACAGGGCTCTCTGAATGTAGGTGAACTACAATTTCCAAACTCAAGGTCAATGCCCACCAAACCCTTCCAGTATATTCTGCTGGTCATGGGAGTTCTGTGTGCCAAGTCTGGTTAAATTCCATCCTTGGTGGAGTTCAGAATGTTCTTTTATTGTAGGTGAACTATAAATCCCAGTAACTACAACTCCCAAAATGTCAAGGTCTGTTTTCCCCAAACCCCATCTGTGTTCACATTTGGGCATATTGAGGACTTGTGCCAAATTTGGTCCAAATCCATCATTGTTTGAGTCCACAGGGCTCTCTGAATGTAGGTGAACTACAATTTCCAAACTCAAGGTCAATGCCCACCAAACCCTTCCAGTATATTCTGCTGGCTATGGGAGTTTTGTGTGCCAAGTTTGGTTCAGTTCCATCCTTGGTGGAGTTCAGAATGCTCTTTGATTGTAGGTGAACTATAAATCCCAGCAACTACAAATTAAAAAAACCAGTTCCCCCAACTCCACCAGTATTCAAATTTGGGCATATTGGGAATTTGTGCCAAATTTGGTCCAGTGAATGACAATACATCCTGCATCTCAGATATTTACATTACGATTCAGAACAGTAGCAAATTACAGTTATGAAGTAGCAACGAGAATAATGTTATTTTGTTAAATAATGTGATCTCACTACCTATGAGGATGCTTGCCATAGATGCAGGCGAAATGTCAGGAGAAAATGCCTCTAGAACAGGGTTTCTCAACCTTCCTAATGCCGCGACCCTTTAATACAGTTCCTCATGTTATGATGACCCCCCAACCATAAAATTATTTTCGTTGCTACTTCAAAACTGTAATTTTGCTACTGTTATAAATCGTAATGTAAATATCTGATATGCAGGATGTATTTTCATTCACTGGACTAAATTTGGCACAAATACCCAAATTTGAATACTGGTGGGGTTGGGGTGGGATTGATTTTGTCATTTGGGAGTTGTAGTTGCTGGGATTTATAGTTCACCTACCATCAAAGAGCATTCTGAACTCCACCGATGGAATTGAACCAAACCTGGCACACAGAACTCCCATGACCAACAGAAAATACTGGAAGGGTTTGGTGGGCATTGACCTTGAGTTTTGGAGTTGTAGTTCACCTACATCCAGAGAGCACTGTGGACTCAAACAATGATGGATCTGGACCAAACTTGGCACAGATACTCAATATTTCCAAATGTGAACACTGGTGGAGTTTGGGGAAAATACAGACCTTGACATTTGGGAGTTGTAGTTGCTGGGATTTATAGTTCACCAACAATCAAAGAGCATTCTGATCCCCACCAACAATAGAACTGGGCCAAACTGCCCACACAGAACCCCATGACCAACAGAAAATACTGTGTTTTCTGATGGTCTTTGGCGACCCCCTGACACCTCCTCACGACCCTCCCTGACCCCCAGGTTGAGAAACACTGCTCTAGAACATGGCCATATAGTCCGAAAAAACCTACAACAACCCAGTGATTCCGGCCATGAAAGCCTTCGACAATACAATAATGTTATGGTTGGGGGTCACCACGACATGAGGAACTGGATTAAGGGGTCGCAGCATTAGGAAGGTTGAGAAACACTGTTTTGTATGACAGAACTGTAAGAGAAAGAGCGAACTCCAAGCAGATTAAGGTTTCTCTCACTGATTTCTGGGCTCTTTCTCCCCCTTCCCTCTTTTCTTTCAGTGCAGTGGACCTTATCCGATCCGGCGGAAAGAAACTGCGGTTTCTGGTGGCCAAGTCCGACCTAGAGATAGCCAAGAAGATCAGCTTTGGGTCTTCCCCTACTCCGTAGAAAGAGCCTGTCCACCTTCACCGGCTGTGGACACTGCATCAAGGACAACGAAGGTGGCCGGTGGCACAGACAAATGACAGGCCTGGAACATTTGGATCCTGGCCAGGGTTTGGATTGCAGAAGGTTGTGTCCTGAGGTGGGAAAATTCCCCAGAAGAGGATGCAAACCCAGCTGCATTTAGGGCAAAGATCTTCTTCTCGCAACCGTTCGTGACCGCACAAGCTTTGAAAAACGCAGCATCGGACTCTTTCTTCCTCCAAGGAGTAAGTCATCATCACATAGAGCCTTTTAAGTCCAAGTGTCGCTTATCAGGCTCTGTGTTGATTCCTAGTTCGTTCCTCCAAACCGTCTTGATTTCCTCGCAACGTTAAAAATTGCCTTCAATTTGTTGGGAGCTCAGGAATCTCCCTCTCTCTCGACAAAGGGATGCTCCAGGTCGGTGAACGGGTAAGGAGAGGATTTAGTTCCTCTTCTGATCCTGTATTTTCCTCTCAATTCAAAGGCATTCTTTGCTTATACCTAGTTGGCTCCATGGGGTGCAAAACAATCAAATTGGTACCTTGTAAATCAGGAAGGAGCTGCTCTGTTTTGCATCCAGGTGACACCACATTGAAGCTTTATGAACGACTCCCCTATTTTAAAATTCTGCCTAAACTGCTGCATAAAAGATGGAATACCATATTTCCCAGGAAATAATCCCTAGCATGATTGTTCAGGAGACTCATCATATATAAGCCCTGTCCCAAAAGGTAAGCCTGGGTTGAGATTGTCAGCCAAATGGATGCATTTACCAGTATTTATAATTGCAAACTGATTTTCTGGTCATGTTCCAGAAGCATTCTCTCCTGACGTTTCACCCACATCTATGGCAGGCATCTGAGGTTTGTTGGAAACTAGGCAAATAAGGTTTAAACTAGGCAAGTGGGGTTTATAAATCTGTGGAATGATGTCCAATAATAAATAATAATAATAAATAATATTAACCATCATACAGTTGTTTGTTTGTTCAGTCGCTTCAGACTCTTCATGACCTCATGGACCAGCCCACTCCCTGTCGGCCGTCACCCCCAGCTCCTTCAAAGTCAAGCCAGTCACTTCAAGGATGCCATCCATCCATCTTGCCCTTGGTCGGCCCCTCTTCCTTCCTTCCTCTGTACAGCACAATTGTCCTCTCTAGGCTTTCCTGTCTCCTCATGATGTGGCCAAAGTACTTCAACTTTGTCTCTAGTCTCCTTCCCTCCTGAGCAGTCGGGCTTTATTTCCTGGAGGATGGACTGGTTGGATCTTCTCGCAGTCCAAGGCACTCTCAGCACTTTCCTCCAACACCACAGCTCAAAAGCATCGATCTTCCTTCGCTCAGCCTTCCCTAAGGTCCAGCTCTCACATCCGTAGGTTACTACAGGGAATACCATGGCTTTGACTAGGCGGATCTTTGTTGCCAGTCTGATGTCTCTTCTCTTTACTATTTTATCGAGACTGGACATTGCTCTCCTCCCAAGAAGTAAGCGTCTCCTGATTTCCTGGCCACAGTCTGCATCTGCACTCATCTTTGCGCCTAGAAATACAAAGTCTGTCCACCACATTTTCACCCTCTATTTTCCAGTTGTCAGTCATTCTTGGTTTTTTGATGTTTAGCTGCAACCCAGCTTTTGCGCTTTCTTCTTTCACCTTGATTAGAAGGCTCCTCAGCTCTCCTCGCTTTCGGCCATCAGAGTGGTGTCATCTGCATATCTGAGGTTGTTAATGTTTCTTCCAGCAATTTTCACCCCAGCTTTGCATTCATCCAGCCCCGCACATCCTTGCATGATGTGTTCTGCATACAAGTTAAAAAGGTTGGGTGAGAGTATGCAGCCTTGCCGTACGCCTTTCCCAATCTTGAACCAGTCTGTTGTTCCGTGGTCAGTTCTGACTGTTATTAAAATAATAATAATAAAATAATAATAATAATAATAATAATAAATATTAATTAAAATAAATAATAATAAATAATAAAGAGAAAGAACTCTTGCCTGCTTGAGGAAAGTGTGAATGTTGAAACTGGCCACCTTGATTAGCACTGAATGACCTTGCAGCTTCAAAGCCTGGTTGCTCTCTTGGAAACTAGGCAAGTGGGGTTTATAATATCTGTGGAATGATGTCCAGGGTGGGAGAAAGAACTCTTGTCTGCTTGACGCAAGTGCGAATGTTGCATTTAGCAATGAATGGCCTTGCAGCTTCAAACCCTGACTGCTCTCTTGGAAACAAGCCAAGTGAGGCTTATGTAACTGTGAAATAATGTCCAGGGTGGGAGAAAAAACACTTATTTGCTGGAGGCAAGTATAAATGTTGCAATTGGCCACCTTGATTAGCATTGAATGGCCTTGCAGCTTCAAAGCCTGGCTGCTTCCTACCTGGGGGAATCCTTAGTACAAACCCACTGTACTAAGGAGAAAACCATGAAAATGAACAAAATCTGGATACCAGTATTTCTTAAAAAAAACAAACTATACAATCAGGACAGTAAATAAAGAGCAACACTCAAAAAGCAGGAGAATTCCAGACAGGAAACAATCAGGGCCAACTGATCACCTCCCAACAAAGGATTTCCACAGGCAGGAAAGCAGCCAAGCCTAGAAGCAGCAAGATTATTCATTGCTGATCAAGGTGATCAATTGCAGCACTCACACTTTCCTCCAACAGACAAGAGTTCTTTCTCCCATCCTGGATATCATTCCACAGATATATACAGTGTTCCCTCGCTACTTTGCGGTTCGCTTTTTGCGGACTTGCTGTTTTGCGTTTTTTTAAAAAAAATTAAAATAAAGTACTGTATACAAGTAGCAAGGAAACACTGGAGGAGGAATGAGGGGCGGATGGATGGATCTCTGCGTAGGCTCAGCCTCCTCGCCCTCTTGACTTTCATCCCCCTCCTCCTCCACCTCCTCCTCCACCACCACCTACTCCACCTCCTCCTCCTTCTCTTCCTCCACCACCTCCTCCTCCTGCTCCACCACCTCCTGCTCCACCACCTCCTGCTCCACCACCTCCTGCTCCACCACCACCACCACCACCTCCTCCACCACCTCCTCCACCACCACCCCACCTCCACCACCACCACCACCACCTCCTCCTCCACCACCACCTCCTCCTCCACCACAACCACCACTATTACTAACAACCACAACCACCCACCACCAACCAACCACCCACCAACCAACCACCAACCAACCACCAACCACCACCAACCAACCACCAACCACCACACTCCTCCTCTCACACCACCCTCCTCATCCACACACACCACCACCACCTCTCCTCCACCTACTCCACCACCTCCCCACCACACTCTCCTACCACAACGCCTCACCACCAACCACCACCTCTTCCTCCTCACCCATCACCTCCTCCAAACACACCACCATCACTCCTACCACCTCCTCCTCCTCCTCCACCACCACCTCCTCCTCCACCACCACCTCCTCCACCACCACCACCACCTCCTCCTCCTCCACCTCCTCCTCCACCACCACCTCCTCTGCCTCCTCCTCCACCACCACCTCTTTGATGCTACTGCGCATGCGCCATGGAGCCCAGGCTGGGCGCGAGCTCGAGGCGGAGGGAAAGCAGCACCCAGATAGAAAGAGATGGATTGAGAGCGGGGGAGGGGGGGCATTTTCCAGAGGGAGGGCGGATGGGTGAATGCGTATACATATGTACATGTACTATAAGCGTCCCTACTTTGCGGATTTTCATTTATTGCCATTGGTCCTGGAACGGAACCCCCACGATAAGTGAGGGAACACTGTACACCGCACTTGCCTAGTGTCCAACAGTCCTCACAACCATTGCGGATGCCTGCCATAGATGTGGGTGAAACATCAGGAGAGAATGCTTCTGGAACATGGCCAGACAGCCCAGAAGACTCACCGCAACCCAGTGATTCTGGCCACGAAAGCCTTAGACAACACATAGCTCAAGTATAACGGAAATGCCTATAGGAGACATATTTTGTCATACGATAAATGAAACCACGGATATGGAGGTGGTGCTGTATATATATATATATATTTAAAAATACAACTCTGCATTCTAGAAGATCAGCAGCTCTCTTGTGACAAGTCTCTGTGACTTTCACAGAGGGCTTATCACAAGGCAGACCGACCACATCCACCGCCCCAAGTGCCTGTCACTGGTTCAGAGGCAGGTGATGACACCAAACTATGCCCAGACTCGGAAACCAAACATTCCTCCTCCTTGGAACATCAGATGGTTTGAATTGCTGAGCCAAAAGAAGGGCTCAGTTCTTCCAGCTTCCTGCTGCCAACAGCAACAGCCTTAAGAGCACAACATCCGCTTGAGAGAGGCAACAGTGCCCCGGCGTGGCTTCCGGCTCTCACTGCAACCGAAGCGATGTTCCAAATTCATGCTTTGCGTGGCCAGCGTAATGTTGGACCACAACTCTTGAGACCAGGACGTGAATCCCCACTTCAGGATGGAAACCAAGCATGAATCACACATTCTCAGCTCCGGAATATCCTGATTTGGAAGTGATTTGGAAGATTTGCAACTACCTGTCAGTCCTAAAGACAGATGGGACTTATATATGGTGTTGTAATGTTCCTCTCCAAGTGCTGATTTGATTTTTGCAGAGCCAACTACCTATGACCAAAGACGGCCTTTGAGTTGACTTGACCTGGTGCGATCTCCATGCAATGGGGGTACAGAAGAGAAAGCCCTCGTGGTTGCTGAGAAAGCTGTCCTATTTGCAGGGACACAATAGGAGCCTAGTGTCTAGGTCCAGGGAAGTCATGCTCCCCATGCTCTATTCTGCTTTGGTTAGACCACACCTGGAATATTGTGTCCAATTCTGGGCACCACAATTCAAGAGAGATGTTGACAAGCTGGAATGTGTCCAGAGGAGGGCGACTAAAATGATCAAGGGTCTGGAGAACAAGCCCTATGAGGAGAGGCTTAAGGAGCTGGGCATGTTTAGCCTGAAGAAGAGAAGGCTGAGAGGAGATATGATAGCCATGTATAAATATGTGAGAGGAAGCCACAGGGAGGAGGGAGCAAGCTTGTTTTCTGCTTCCTTGGAGACTAGGACGCGGAACAATGGCTTCAAACTACAAGAGCGGAGATTCCATCTGAACATGAGGAAGAACTTCCTGACTGTGAGAGCCGTTCAGCAGTGGAACTCTCTGCCCCGGAGTGTGGTGGAGGCTCCTTCTTTGGAAGCTTTTAAACAGAGGCTGGATGGCCATCTGTCAGTGATTTGAATGCAATATTCCTGCTTCTTGGCAGAGGGTTGGACTGGATGGCCCATGAGGTCTCTTCCAACTCTTTGATTCTATGATTCTCAACAGAGGTAACTTCCTATACGTTCCTCCAACCCCTATTGCAGCGCCTTCACCCATTTTACTCTTGCAGCTGGGCTGCTATGCCTATGCCAGTGTCGTTACGCCATCCAACATAATTACAGCGGACACAGGGTTGCTGTGAATTTTCCAAGCTATATGCCCAGGTTCCGGAAGCATTCTCTCCTGACATTTCTCCCACATCTATGGCAGGCATCCTCAGAGGTTGAGAGGTCTGTTAGAAATGAGGCATGTCTGTGGAATAATGTCCAGGGTGGGAGAATTGTTGCGTTGTATATTATTTTGATTTTGCATTTTATGTATTTTGCTCGTTTTATTGTGTTTTGTGTTATATTGTTTGTATTGCATCAATGGGTGTGGCCTCACGTAAGCCGCACCGAGACCCCCTGGGGGAGATGGAGCGGGGTATAAATAAAGTATTATTATTATTATTATTATTATTATTATTATTAAAGAAAGAACTCTGATCTGCTTGAGGCAGGTGTCAATGTCGCAATTGGCCACCTTGATTATTTATTTATTATTTGGGCTGTTGTAGGTTTTTCCGGGCTATATGGCCATGTTCTGGAGGCAAATTCTCTCCTGACGTTTCGCCTGCATCTATGGCAAGC